CCCTGGTCGATCACGAACGAGGTGTGCTCTTGGTCAGGTACGTGCATTTTGATCTGATTATATCCTAAATACACATCCATGAACGTAGGTAGTTCATGTTCGGCGGTGGCATCGACGAACTGATCTATCCGAGGCAAAGGAAAACTATCCTTCGAACAAGCTTTGTTTAGGCTCGTAAAGTCGATGCAAACACGCCACCTGCCATTAGCTTTTTTAACTAGTACAACATTACAGAGCCACGTGGGGTAGTGAACTTCTTTTATAAAATCAGCTTGTAAGAGCTTATCAACTTCTTTACTTATTACAAGGCTACGCTCAGTGTCGACAGGCCGACGCTTTTGCTTTACAGGTCTAAAGAAGAGATCTACATTTAGTCTATGCACCATAATGCTCGGGTCGATCTTTAGCATGTCCTCGTGTGACAAGGCAAATACGTCGACGTTTGCTCGTAAAAATTCGATGAGCTCTGTCTTCGTCTCTGCCCTTAACTTGGTGTCGATGGTGACCTGCTTGTTAGGGATCAATAGTAGCACAAGCTCAAGCTCCTTGGTTGGCATCCCGTGGGTCGGCTCATCCAATGGCTGGGCGTCAGTAGTGACTATTGTGCAAGTGATTGAGCCTTTCAATGCTACGACGTAGCATTCTCTCGACATCTTTTGCTCACCCCGAATGGTAGCTATCCCTGAAGCGGTGGGATACTTCATATCTTGATGATACGTTGACGGGATAGCTTTTTTAGCTGGTGTATGAAGGGTCGGCCTAATATGGCATTGTATGCTGAGGTGCGGTCAATCACCACGAACTTAGCAACTGAAGTGATCTGATGCTCCCCTTTATTGAGGGTGGCCAGGAGCTAGATACAATCCTCGACTGTTAATGACTCTCTAGCAAATCAAACCAACGGTGTAGGGCTCAGCTTTATCTGAGCTCGCTCCCATCCGAGGGTGGAGTATACAAACATGGAGAGCACATTGGTTGAGGCACCTCCGTCAACCAGCATGCGCTTGACTGTTACATGATCAATTAGAAAAGCGATGACCAGGCCATCGTTGTGAGGTAAATGGATGCCCTCGGTGTCTTGCTCATCGAAAAGAATCAGCAGGGTCGACTCTTTCGAATATGAGGTGCAAACTTCATGCATAACTTCTCTGATAAGAGCCTTGCACTTTTGTTCAGACTAGCCCTGACTGGGCCCTCCTACAATCATATTGATCAGTGGAGGTCGGTTATCGGTGCGTCGAGGTGGCAATCGAGACCATTCCCTCTGGTCATCTTTATTGGACTTGATCGGCTTGTCCCTCTCAGGCGAGCCGAGATACCTTTTCAAGTAACCACGCCGAATCAAATTTTCAATCTAGTCCCGAAGAGTAATAGGTTGACGTGTCATGCCCGTGGTCCTTTTGGAATCGGCAATACTTGCTTTTATCCTTCTTACCAGTCGGTTTATGGGTCTTTCTAGGTGGCGAAAGTAAATTCTTGAAGCCACCCTCCTCCACTGCTACTATGATTTCAGTAATGGGTTTATTGGTAGGAACGACTTGTCAAACTGAGGCCCCCTCTTGGACTCGGATATGGTATCGCTACGCTGGTCACAAGACTTGTCAACGAGTCAGTGCCTAGAACTACAGTCGTTGTCCCACTGTTTCTGAGACTTGCTGTCGTCTTGATTGCTGTAGCGCTTACCTCCATTGGCCTACCAAAATTCTAAGTCGTCAATGTACCTTCGGGCTCGGATGAGTAGCTCATTCAACGAGGTAGCTGGCTTGCTGCCGAGTTTGACCATCAGATTTTTGTCATTTAGCCCGATGGTGAAGTATATGATAGCCATCTCATCTATACAGTTCACCACTTTGACGTGCTTGTCCATGAACCAAGTGATGTAATCGATCAAGGACTCGCGATCTTGCTGTTTGATCGTTCCGAGGTGGGAAGCGAGAAACTTCATCAACTGTCGTGCCAAGAATTGGTTGATAAACATCTTGCGCAACTGCTGATGGACTTAGGCTTTAACTGCCTATACCAAACCCGAGCCGATCTTTCTAGAGTTATCTGGAAAGCTCGATATTTTATGGCGTCATTGGTTGTAAGAAACTTCATCTTGCCCTCAAAGATCTCTATATATGAAATAAGGTCTCCTGACCCATCATACGAGTTCATCGTCAGGGCTTTGAATTTGTGGAGGATCGGCTCATCCAACATGTCGTAGGTGAATGGAGGCTCTTATCATTCAGAGAAATCGATCTGGCCACGGGATTTACATTTGTTCTTGAGATCCTCGATCACCTTCTACATCATCTCCCTAAGTTGGTCCATCTCAGACCGGATGCTGTACTCGCCTTAAGACGAGGCTTTATAGTCATTAACCTCTTCACTGCGACTTAATGGTCCACA